GCAATGCCTAATCCTTAGTTGACTCATTTGTTCTAACCTTTCTTCATTCAATCTGCCGTTGAATGACAAAAGATACAGAATCTTGAGGTTTTTGTCTTACCATTTGCTCAAGTTAGGTTCGATCTCTTCTTAATTAGGAAGGTACCTGGGCATCTTTCTTTCTCCCACAAGCTCTCGAAAGGAAAGACAGACTGCTTCCCCAAACATCCTATCTGTGGAGCAAGGGCTCTCCAATGCTAGCCGCCCCTCGTCTCTGACTGGAATTTAAGAACAGTGTGTTGAAATGAAAAGTCACCCTATTTGTTTCTTGCCATTGTCTGAAATTTAACCTGTACTGAAATGAAATATATCAGTATTAACAACCAAAAAAAAAAGTGTGCTGTTGTTGTTGGGGACGTGAGGCCTGTGTTCCAGTGTACAGCGAGGGGTAAAGCCACATCCCTTTATAGAGCGTGTCAGTCAGAAAAGACATTTTAGAACTAAAAGGCATGATTCAAAACTCTGTAAAGGACATTAACTCATGAGTACCCAGCGACAGTCTAAGTCAACATCAGTAATTCTCTTTGTCTCCCAGAGTGGAAAGGTGGGGAAATCCCGCAGTGGAGCTCACCAGCCCTGAAGTCTGCTCTAGCTTGGAGTTTCATTTGGTAAAATAATGAATTTCATTCTACCAGGGTTGTTAGTCTGTGTGGTATAAAGCATTCCGGAGCCCACAGACCCTTGGGAATGTCCACTGCCATGGCTTCACATCAGAATTAATGATATCACAGGACACTGTCACCTCAGTCTCTTAGACCAGTACCCTGGGAGCCTCAGATGGGCTTCATGAGGGTGTGCTAGCATATGGGAGACTCCGGTAGATGAACTTCATGATGGTGTGTTAATATGTGGGAGACTCCTATGCTAAATCTAAAAGCTTTTAGTCATATTTGGAATTGCACTTGCATTTCTTGAAATGGAGCACGTTCCAATGTGGTATACTTTTACTATTAACATTCAGTTTTTTATTTTTTAAACAGTCTTGTGTAGACTAGGCTGGCCTGGAACTGCTACATAGCCCTTGAACACAGAAACTCTCTCCACCCCTCTCCATCCCTCTCCTCCCCTCTCCATCCCTCTCCTCCCCTCTCTACCTCTCTCCTCCCCTCTCTACCTCTCTCCACCCCTCTCTACCTCTCTCTGCCCCTCTCCATCCCTCTCCTCCCCTCTCTACCTCTCTCTACCCCTCTCTACCTCTCTCCACCCCTCTCTACCTCTCTCCACCCTCTCTACCTCTCTCCACCCCTCTCTACCTCTCTCCACCCCTCTCTACCTCTCTCCACCCCTCTCTACCTCTCTCCACCCCTCTCTACCTCTCTCCACCCCTCTCCTCCCCTCTCTACCTCTCTCCTCCCCTCTCTACCTCTCTCCACCCCTCTCTACCTCTCTCCACCCCTCTCCATCCCTCTCCTCCCCTCTCTACCTCTCTCCACCCCTCTCTACCTCTCTCCACCCCTCTCCATCCCTCTCCTCCCCTCTCTACCTCTCTCCACCCCTCTCTACCTCTCTCCACCCCTTTCCATCCCTCTCCTCCCCTCTCTACCTCTCTCCACCCCTCTCCATCCCTCTTCTCCCCTCTCCATCCCTCTCCTCCCCTCTCTACCTCTCTCCACCCCTCTCTACCTCTCTCCACCCCTCTCTACCTCTCTCCACCCCTCTCCATCCCTCTCTTCCCCTCTCCATCCCTCTCCTCCCCTCTCCATCCCTCTCCTCCCCTCTCTACCTCTCTCCTCCCCTCTCTACCTCTCTCCACCCCTCTCTACCTCTCTCTGCCCCTCTCCATCCCTCTCCTCCCCTCTCTACCTCTCTCCACCCCTCTCTACCTCTCTCCACCCCTCTCTACCTCTCTCCACCCCTCTCCATCCCTCTCCTCCCCTCTCTACCTCTCTCCTCCCCTCTCTACTTCTCTCCACCCCTCTCTACCTCTCTCCACCCCTCTCCATCCCTCTCCTCCCCTCTCTACCTCTCTCCACCCCTCTCTACCTCTCTCCACCCCTCTCCATCCCTCTCCTCCCCTCTCTACCTCTCCACCCCTCTCCATCCCTCTTCTCCCCTCTCTACCTCTCTCCTCCCCTCTCTACCTCTCTCTGCCCCTCTCCATCCCTCTCCACCCCTCTTTACCTCTCTCCACCCCTCTCTACCTCTCTCCTCCCCCTCTACCTCTCTCCACCCCTCTCCATCTTCCTAGTTCTGAGAGTTTAGGTATGCACCACCACACCATGAATGATGATTTGTGCCGGGGATTGAATCCAGGCTTAAAGCATGCTAGGCAAACACTCTACTAACTGAACTACAGTCTCAGCTCCCCCTGCCCCTCTGACAGGATAGGCAATGTAGACAAGGCTGGTGTTGAGCTGTCAATCCAACTGTCCCTTCCCGAGTGCTGAGACTGTCAGTGTACCATCAACCCAGTGTGATCTCTTCTTTTAAAAGGAGTGTCCAGGGCTGTGCGTATGCCATCAGTGGTGAAGCAGCTGTCTAACACGCCTGATTCCCCAGGCTCAGTCCCCATCACTGGGGGAGGACAAATAATGCCAAGCAGTTCTAATGCCTGTAAGTACATGGAGATCTGGATTACACTTGTTGTAAAATAAGTCTGCAGACTTGCCTGTTCTCACTCTGCCCCCAACAAAGAGAGAGGTGCCGTCAGGGCTGCTCTGATACATCTAAGGTGTGTGCGCTTCATCAGGACTTCTAGGAAGCCTCTCAAGCCAACTCTATGCACAAATTGGACAAATGTGAACTGGCTACAAAGGCAGATTTGTTACAGTTTAAAACAGCTACACAGGCGGTGGTGGTGCACGCCTTGAAACCCAGCACTTGGGAGGCAGAGGCAGGAGGGTCTCTGTGAGTTCTGGGACAGCCTAATCTACAGAGTGAGTCCCAGCACAACCAGGGATACACAGAGTAACCCTGTCTTGAAAAAAAACTAACTAACTAACTAAAGGCATATAGGTATTTTTATCTTTTAACAATTAAAATGGTAGTGGTGTGCGTTTTATCGCAGTAACACTCCAGTTCTTGTATGTTACTCTGAGGTCTTTGCTCCCATTGAAAGTCAAACAGAATAGAGCTCCCTCCCTCCTTTTTCTTTTCTTAATTATTTAGGACCTTTATTAACAGGTGCTTGCAGTTTGTTGACTTTTTTTAAAATCAGATTGTAAACTTTCATTACAAATTAAAAATGAAGTTCTTAAAAATCTCAACTTGACCAGATATGAACCAGTTTAAAGACCATTAAAGGTATATTGAGAAAAACCAGACCCTTTAAAAAAAAACAAAACATTTGTCATTACCAAAAAAGGGACATTGTTGGGTAAAGATAATAAAAGCCCCATGCTGCATAGATAATGCCCATAGTTCTAGTGTATCTGGTGTATCAGTGTATCAGTGCTCCCAGGATATCTGGTGTATCTGGTGTATCTGGTGTATCAGTGCTCCCAGGATATCTGGTGTATCTGGTGTATCAGTGCTCCCAGGGTATCTGGTGTATCAGTGTATCAGTGCTCCCAGGAAGTTCCAAGGAACCACACAGGGAAACAGAAGCAAGGACTAGAGGCCCTGCCTTCCCCAGGGCACATCTCACAGGGACCGGAATGGCCAGTTGAGCCCCAAGGCTCAGCTTCACTTTGGTGACTTGATGGGGTGCCACCCCAACCACCACAGCAAGGACAAAGCAGCAGCAGAAGCTTTTAAAACCCGGGCCGTAGCCGGGCGGTGGTGGCGCACGCCTTTAATCCCAGCACTCGGGAGGCAGAGACAGGCGGATCTCTGTGAGTTCGAGGCCAGCCTGGTCTACAAAGTGAGTTCCAGGACAGCCTCCAAAACAATACAGAGAAACCCTGTCTCGAAAAACAAAAAACAAACAAACAAACAAACAAAAAAAACCCGGGCCGTGACGATTCTGATCTTTCTGCAGAACACACCGCATCCCCCCTTAGAGCCATATGGATACTGGGATTGTGAGTGTGCTGCCAGCCCAGAATTCATTTCTAAAGTGATTTTATGTTGTTGCAGGGTGCCAGCCCGCATAAATACATATCCACACGCTCATATGAAACGTTTTCCTATTTTTGCCTTTTATGTTAATTTGCAGAGATTTTTTGGCCTGGAATCAATCTTGAGAGTTCTGATTTAGCTTGGATTAAATGTTTTTCAGCATAGGAGATAAGGGAATAACAGAAGATATTTTTGAAGGAAAATTTTACTAAAAAGTTAAAAATCAGGAGCTAGAGAGATGGCTCAGAGGTTAAAAGCATACTGCTCTTGCAGAGGACTGAATTTGGTTCTCTTGTTGAGCAGTTGGTTCACAACTGCTTACAACCCCGTCTCCATGGGATCGGATGCCCTCCTTTGTCCTCTGCGGCCTCTCAGGGCACCTGCACACGCATGCACAGGTACATTCTGCACACACACAATTAAAAATAATAAAATCTTCTAAATATAGAAGTTAGTTATAAAAATTGAAGTAGTCAAGGTTCTCCAGAGGAAGAGAACTGATAGAATGGACCTGTCTGTCCGTCTGTCCATCCCTCCATCCATCCATAAAAAGGTGATTCATTAGAGTGGCTTACAGGCAGTGGTCCAGCTAGTCTACCAATGGCTGTCTACCAAAGGAGGTTCCAATAATCTAGTAGCTATTCAGGTCGTGAGGCTGGATGTCCAGCTGGTCCTCGATATACACCGGCGTCCTGAAGAAGTAGGCTCCGATGCCAGTGAAGGAGTGAACTTGCCAGTGAGAGCAAGAGCCCAGAGCAAACAGCCACAGAGCAAACGCTTCCCCTCCTCCTTCCATTTCTTTGCACACACTGCCAGCAGAAGGTGTGGCCCAGATTAGAGATAGATCGTCCCACCTGAAAGGATCCCTATTAAAGGTTTATCTTCCAACCTCAAAAATCCACACTAGAAGTGGGACTCCCACTTCAAACGATTTAATCAAGAAAAAAATTCCTTACAGGCGTACCTAACCATTTGGACTTCAGTTAACTATAGATGTACTTGACAACCAAGAATAGCCATCACAAAAAATCTATTTAAAGTTTGACTTTGAGGATGGTGTCTCTGACTACATTGTGCACAGGTGAGTGGACAGGGTGTCTATTGTGGCTTTAAGTGTGACAATGATTTTAAGTCAAATCTGAGGTCATGTAGTCAATCATCTGAAAATTCAATGTACTATAGTTTTTTTTTCTAGTTTGAAATTTGTAGTGTGTGTATGTGTATGTTCAGGTGTATGTATATGTTCAGGTGTGTGTGTGTTCAGGTGTATGTGTGTATTTAGGTGTGTGTCTGTGTGTGTTCAGGTGTGTGTGTATATTCAAATGTGTGATGTGTATGTGTGTTCAGGTGTGTGGTGTGTGTGTGGTGTATGTGTGTGTGTGTGTGTGTTTAGATGTGTGGTGGCCACAAATCCACTTTATCTATTTTTCCTCTAGAGCAGTGGTTCTCAACCTTCCTAATGCTGGGACCCTTTAATACAGCTCTTCATGCTGTGGTGACTCCTGTCTTAGTTTGGGTTTCTATCGCTGTGAAAAGACGCCAGAACCATGGCAGCTCTTACAAAGGAAAAACATTTAATTGGGGTGGCTCACAGCTTCAGAGGTTTAGTCCATTATCATCCTGCTGGGGCACGGGTATCAGGCAGATGCGGGGCTGGAGAAGGAGAGAGTTCTGTATCTTGACTCGTAGGCAGCCGAGGGAGAGGGCATAGCTTGAGCATGTGAGACCTCATGGCCTGTCCCCACAGTGACACACTTCCTCTAGCAAGGCCACTTCTCCTAACTGCCACTCCCCATGGGCCAAGCATTCCAACATACGAGTCTATGGGGGCCACAGCTATTCAAACCACCACAACCCCAACAACCACAAAATTATCTCATTGCTACTTCATAACTACAGTTTTGCTGCTGTTATTAATCACATAATCTTATGAATCTGATATTCAGGGTGTCTGATATGGAACCCCCAAAAGGGTCACCACCCATAGACTGAGGACCACCGCTCTTGAAGGATCCATCTTGTTTTTGAGGTAGCTTTTCACTTGGTCTGGAACCTACCTGGCTAGGCTCAAGTGTCTAGGCAGTGAGCCCTCTGGGTTGTCTGTCTCCGCCTCCCCAGCACTAGGAGCACAAGCATATCCACCGTGCTCCGCTCACATGGGTCCCGAGGACCAAACACAAGTCCTCGCGTGGCAAGCGCTTCACTGGCTGAGCTGGTGTCCCAGTTTGTCCTTGTCTTACCGATGGTGCAAACCAGCAAGCTGCTGAACTCAGACTGTAGTTGGGCCTGCGACAACAGGTCAGTTCGCTGTTCGCCCCCTTCGGCTCCCACGCTTGCACACGGGGTCCCAGGTTGGCGGTTCTCTGGGGGGGCAGTTGTAGAACCTTTAGGGGGCATAGCCTAGATTGAGGGATTACGTCACTGGGGCGGGGTTCAAGGCTGGGTAGCCCGACCCCACCCGTTTCTCTCCGGAACCACAAACCAAACGAAAGCTTTCCTTCTGTAAATTGCTACTGGCCTTTTACCACGGCCATACAAGTAAGTAACATAGGAGGTCACTTTAGAAATTGAATATATATATCTTGGTCTTGAGTGATGGGTAGGTCAAATAGAGGTTTACGCCACCCCGTGAATTCTTTTTCCTTAGAATGGGAAACACACACATCTCTTGTTGTTGTTGTTACTTCATTTGCTATTCTGTTATATTTGTCGGGGAATATTTCTTCACAAGGTGTGAAGATGCGTCCCTGTGATTGGGTTAATAAAGAGCTGGAAGGCCAATGACTAGGCAGGAGAGAGTAGGAGGGACTTCTGGGGACAGAGAGATCACTGGGAAGAAGAGAGGAGGAGGAAATTGTGATATTGCGGTGTGAGGGAGACCATGGTGGCTGGGAGCACAAACCTGCCAGGCAGACAGGCTGCTTGGGAAGCTTTATTTGGGGGAAGCGAAGGGAGTGGGAAAGGGAAGGGGGAGAGAAAGAGACAGAGACCAGTTACCAGAAATGGCAGAGACTGAAAGCGAGAATGGGCAGAGCTTGCCTCTTAAAGGGACCCTCGCCTGCCCGCCCAGAGGAGGCACAGTTTACAACTTTCCAAGGAGCAGGGCCAGGCTTGCCGGGATTGCAGCCAGTGAGACTCTGAAGAAGTCAGACATTTGGTATGGATGGGGCTGAATGCAGATGAATAAAAACGGGTTAATTTAAGTCTTAAGAGCTGGCTGGGGAAAAGCCCAAGCTAAGGCCAAGCTTTCATAGTTGATAAGTCTCTGTGTCATGATTTCCAGGCTGGTGATCCCACCAAAGAGAGTCCGACCATACCTATGGAAGTGTATGTTTCTGTCTCCTTGTTGAGACCGTCTCCATCAGTAAGTGATGAAGGCTAGCCTCAGACTTGGGTCCAGATCTCTTGCCTTAGCTGTGTGAAGTGCTGGGGTCACGAGCATTTGCCACCAAGCCTGACAGTTTCTGATTACTTCCCACAGTTTAGTCAAATCATATAATTGCTCTAAATCTGAAAACTCAATATTGAAATATTTCAGTCTTCACATGATTAGAATTTCACACCCTAAGTTGATAGGGCCAACTGACTTGCCAGTAATTTATGTGTTAGTATTAAAAATGAAGCACTGTATATATATATGAATTTGAAACATTTTTTTTCTGTCTACAATGGTATTACCATGTTCCTTTCCTTTCCTCCCAAAATAAAAAGCACAGTTTGGGTTCCATGAGCTTAATTTTTTTCAAAGTTTTGTTGGTATTAGAAGGAGTAAGTAAATCTTATTTTTAACATAGAATTCTTCAGGGATATTTTATGTTCTAAATCTTCGTAAATGGTCAGCGTGCAAACACCCTTGAACAGTCAGCAACCGTAGGCCTCTCAGCAAGTACGCTCATTTGCATTTCTTCAAGACTCAAGGGATAATTTTGCAGGCAGACTACCAAATAGTCTGATCAGCTAACTTAACGTTTTCGTTTCACAAAAAAAAAAAAAACCATAATCTTTGCCTTTGTGCCAAGGTCTCATGACACAAATGGGTCATTGATTCTCACTTGTACTACAAAACGATCTTTTCTAAGTAGGAAACCCCTCTCGAGTGTCCTCCGTGTGCTTGAAAGCATCCATGCGCGTTAACTCCTCCGCGGGACCTACCGTCGCACTTTAATCGTCTTGAAGGTGCTTTTCGTGGAGAGCTTTGCTGATATAAAGAATGAGGAGTGACAGTCCCGTGTCTTTTCTTCTTATTTGAGACCTGCGTAACCCTTGGTATCGTCTAGATGCCAAAGTAAGAGCGCCGCTGAATTCCAGACTGAGGCCTCATTCACTCCCTCACCAGGGGTGTGGACCACCCTGCCTTGCTCACGCTCCTATGCCATGGTGGCCGTCCCGGGGGCACAGGCTCCACTCAGCGAGGGAAACACATTCACTCACAGGACAGAAGCGGCTGCTCGGAATCCGCCTCCGCGGGGACTCTCCTGGGTCAGGGAGTCGTAAGTCTCAATAGGCTTAGTCAGAGTCTCCCGGGTATCACGTCCTAGGCCTTCCACCCCTGTGATGAAACGCCATGACCAGAAGGAACTTGGGGAGGGGAAGGGTTTATTTGACTCATACTTTCACAGCACAGTTTGCCATGGAAGGAAGTCAGGGCAGAGAAAACGGGAGGATCCTGGAGGGAGGAGTTGATGCAGAGGTCAAGGAGGAGATGGCTGTTTCTTGCCTTACTTTCTTAGAGCACCAAGGACCACCAGCTCAGCGGTGACCCCCCCTTACACACAGTGGGTTTCACTTTCTCACATCAATCACTAATTAAGGAAATGCCCTACAGCCTTACCACACTCGGATCTTATGGAGGCTTCTTCTCAGTTGAGACTCCTTAAACTTAGGTGACTAGCTTGTTTTGAGTTGACAGATAGTAGCCAGCACAGGTGACCCGAGGGACTTTGCGCTGTAGTTAGAGCAGGAGCCAGCAAAGGAGACCGCAGGGACATTGCACCGTGTCTAGAGCAGGGTACTGAACGACCAGAGAGAAGTTAACCCAGCTCATGTCAGTTACGCATTGACTTTGAAACGACAATAAGCAGTTTTGTTCTGAGGCAGTCTTACTGTGCTGACCATGCTGGCCCAGAATCTAGGTTCAAGTGATCCTTCTGCCTCAGCTCCCTAAGTAATTGGACTATGGGTGAATGCCACTATATCTAGTCAAAATGTTTGTGTTTTAGAAGATTGGGAAACTTATCTTTTTATATCTCACACACTCTCAGTTTTTATTGTGTGAAAATGATTTCCAGATACTGAAAAAGAGCAGCCTGGGTTTGTGTGGGTTTGGTTATTGTTGTCTTAGTGCTGGGTATTTGGTGCCAAGCCGCATCTATGCCAATCACACTTCCTACCACTGAGCTGCTCTTCCCAGCCTCATGAAGAATTGTTTTTTTATCAGGAAGAAGAGAGCTAGCCAGGCATGGTGGTGCATGCCTTCAATTCCAGCACCCAGGAGGCAGAGGCAGACAGATCCGAGTTCAAGGCCAGTCTGGTTTGCATAGTGAGTTCTAGGATGGCCAGAGCTACACAGAGAAACCCTATCTCGAAAAACCAAAGGGAGGAACAGATGGGAAGGAAAGAGCATCCATTCATCCATTGTGAGATACAGCATAGGACCCTTCCTCTTAGCTCACTCTTCTTCGTATATGATTGTATTAGCATATTGATTGGAGCACATGCGCCCCTTTCTTTCCTCCAACTTCAGCTGATTCCTTCTCTTCCAACTAGTCCCCTTTCTGCTTCTTGTGTGCGCGCACATGGGAGTGCATCCGTGTGTGTGCACATGTGAGTGTATCCGTGTGTGTGCACATGGGAGCGCATCCGTGTGTGTGCACATGGGAGCGCATCCATGTGTGTGCACATGGGAGCACACGTGTGTACACCTAGTCCCCTTTCTACTTCTTGTGTGTGCTCACATGGGAGTGCATCTGTGTGTGCACATGTGAGTGCACGTGTGTGCACCTAGTCCCCTTTCTGCTTCTTGTGTGCGCGCACATGTGAGTGCATCCGTGTGTGTGCACATGTGAGTGCATCCGTGTGTGT